ACCGCGGTTGGAGTCCCTGCCGGGCGCGTGTGCATGCATGCCCAAGATCCCGAGAGGAGAATGGAGGAGAAGGGATTGTGGCATGGCCATCCCCCTTGAGGGGTGATTTCTCGCTTTCTGTCTCTCTGTCTCTCTCTGTCTCTGGTGAGCACAGGCACCCTATAACAAAAATCTCTCCAAAAAACAAAAAAAAAGAATTCTGGTAGAGGGCACTGAAGAGGTGGTTTAAGGTACTGGGAAGAGGGCAGTGTGGTAGGAATCCCAGAGAAGAGGCAAAGTGGTACTTGAAGTTAGAGAAGGAAGCAGGGCTCAGAATCTAGTGCTGAGGGCATGTGAGAAGTTTATGGATGGTGTAAAGTTTAATAAAAGATAACAAGGTTTTGGCAAAAAGATGCATGATCTGATTATTTTTTAAGTCTGAGGAACATGGATTAGAAGGAGAACAAGAGAGGACATGGGAAGAATATGAATATATTGGGTATTTGGAAAAGTCATGACAAATTTTTGCATAGGAAAATACGTCATGACTTTTCTGATAACCCAATAGGATATAAACACATGACACTGATTGTGTTTACATGTCTGTTCCCTTATTAGATCATAAACTCCTTGAATTAAAGAAAACCATGTCTAATTTGAGTACATAGCAGGTGCTTACAGTATTAAAATGAAAGTATACAATACACACTGAACCTTTAAAATAACTCTGCTAGTCAAGTGTTATCTCCATGTCATAAATGAAAAACTTAATGATCAGAGATACATGTACTAGTACTGTCCTAAGAACACTATGCATATTAACACAATGATCTCACAACAACCTTATGAAGTACTGTTTGTTATTTGACCCTCATTTTATAGATGAGGCAACTGAGGCACAGAGAGATATGTAACAAGCTCTAGTTTACACTGGTAATGAGTAGTAGAGCCAGATTTGAATCCAACCAGTCTGGCTTCAGAGAGGCCATTTTTTTTTTTAATTTTAATTCAGTGAGTATGTGTGTTCTTCAAAGGGAGAGGGAGAAAAAAGAGAGAGCGAAAGCTCCCCCCAATTGAACATAGTTACACTGCAGTCCTTTCTCCATATTTCTATGCCATCAGGATTTAGGGCATACATGCATACATGCTTGATGTGTTTTTCAGGCCACTGGGGCCAGGATTTGAACCATGATCAACCATGTGGGGTTCCTAGGGCTTAACCACTCTTAACTACTCTTTACTCTTAACAAGTATACACAAGAGTGCCTCATACAGAACTCTGTACTTACATAAAGATATAAATGTAAATGAGTTAGAAGAGTAACTACTAGAATAAAAATCAAATGTATAACTTTCAGACCAGTAAAGGGGAAAAAAACTGGGAAAAGAACTATCAAACCAAAGGCAGAAAAGAACAACAGGAAGCATGATACATAGAAAAAGTAAGTTCAATATATATGAATTAGTTAAATTTTATTTTTAAAAAAGTAGAAATCTCAGATAAGGGAATGGGGGCATATACATCCCTTTAAAAATGTATCTAAAATCAAAAGACAATACAATGGGGAAAAAAATAATCTCAGCAAATAGTGTTGGAAAAACTGGATATCCGCCTGCAGAAAGATAAAACTGCACCCCTATCTCTCACTATTAACAAAAATCTACTCAAAGTGAATCAAAGATCTAAATGTAAAACTTCAAACAATAAAACTACTGGTGGGGAAAAAAAAAAAAAAAAAACCAGGAGAAACTCTTGGAGACATTAGAATAGTAGAAGACTTCTTAAATGAGACCCCCGAACCACAAGCAATAATCCCAAAATAGACAAGTGGTACTACATCAGGCTAAAAAGCTTGTGCAGAGCAAAAAACAATGATTAGAGTGAAGAGACAGCCTCAAAATGGGAGAACATATTTGCAAACTGAGTCTCAGTTAAGGGACTGATAACCAGAATATCTGAGGAACTCAAGAAGCTTACCCACACAAACACACACACACACACACACACACACACACACAACTTTTAAATGGACAGATGAGCTGAACAGACAAGGAAGACATATGAATAACCAAAAAGCATATGAAAAAATGTTCAACATCTATTAATATTACAAGAGAAATGCTAATCAAAACCACAGTTAGTTATCACTTAACTCCAGTCAGGATGGCTAAGATTAAAAAAAAATAAAGAATGAGGAGTGATGGTGAGGTTGCAGTGAAAAGGAAACTCTCCTACACTATTGTTGAGAATGTAAATCAGTACAGCCACTGTGGAGAACATATGAGGTTCCACAAAAACCTACAAATAGAACTACCATACAACCCAGCAGTTCCACTCCTGGGTATCTACCCAAAGGATAGGAAAACACTCAGTTGGGAAAACACATGTCCATGTTTATTGCAGCAGTATTCACAATTGCTAAATCATGGAACCAATCCAAATGTTCAAGAGTAGGTGAATGGATTGAAAAAATGTGGCACATATACACTGTGGAATACTACTCAGCCATAAAAAAAAAACAATGAGACCCTGGCATTTGATACAAAGTGAACAATTGTGGGAGATTTAATGCTAAGGGAAGCAACCCAGACTATGAAAGAGAGGCACTGTATGTCTCTGCTTAATACATACCAAATGTCTGCTCTTTATGTCAGAAACTGAAATGTTGGAAGGTATAATAGAGAGGGCAACTATAGGTACTAGAGGCAGTATAGGAGGGGGTAGGTAAAAGAGAACGGGAGAAAGGGGATCAGGAAAAAAATGTGTCAGATACAAAAGTGAAAAGTTACCTGTTCATGATAATGTATATGGTAATATCTTTGACTTCACTAATATGCACTGTATTCATGCTGGGGAAAACCATTTTATAAGTTGTAAAAATGTACAGTGATTAAATGTAATAAAAAAAGATTTTAAAAATGTATCTAAAACTAGAAAACAGCTCCGTGACTGGTTATATATTCAGAGAAACTTTTATACATATGTACCAGGAGACATCTACAAGAAAAGTTACTGATGGCACTTTTACTTTTGTAAAAGCAAAAAACAAAAAAATGAACAAAAAGAAACTACATATAGTGAGTTTAGGGGATAACCTATGTTGCATAAATGTAGAACAGCAACTCTCCTACACTGCTGGTAAGAGTAAGCTACTATAAGTACTAGAGAACAATTTCCCAATATCAAATCAAGTTGTGCAAATCCTTTTACCTAGCAATTCCATTTCTAAATACAAAGAAATTCTCACTCAAAAAGCTTTGTGTAACAATGTGCATTAACTTATGTTAAAAATGGCAAAAATAAGGAATCATTAAATTAGTAGCAACAGGATAACAGATAAATTTGGATATACTATTCAGTTAAAATAAAAAATCTAGAACTATATACATCCACATGGATAAATTTTGTAAACATAATTATGGGCGACAAAAGAGCAACTTACAGAATTATATAATTTAAGTTTGAAAACAAAAAAATACTGTACTGTAGAACTATATATATATGTGTGTGTGTATATATCTATATATATATATGTATGTATAAAAGCTTCATGGGAATGATAGTAAATTCAAGAAGTACTTGGGGAGGAAGAAGATAGGGAGAATGAGATTACAGAGGGTTCACAGGAAGATCTAACTGAATATTCAATATTAAATTTTGAAGAAGATATGGAAGAATGTTAAAACATAAGTTAGGTGGTTGGTACACAGGTACATTATATTATTCTGTCATTTTATCCATTTTTTAAAAAAGAAAATTGGGGCCAGCAGGTGGCATGGTGGTTAAGGGCACTTGGACTCCTATATGGCTGACAGTGGTTCAAGTCCCAGACCTGGAGCCTTGTTTTCTCACTTTCCCTCTCTATCTCTCTCATGGTCCCTCCCTGGTCAAATTAAAATATGTAAGTAAATAATGTTAAATAAAATAATTCTTTAAAATAAAACATGCAAGATTTTTCTTTAAAAAGTATTCTATTAGGTCATCTGGAAAGTCATGATGTATTTTTCTATGTTTTTGTATGTAAAAATGTGTCATGACTTTCCTGACAGGCCAATATTAAAAGAACAAAATGAATCCAAAGAATTAATGAAGGCATACATTAATGAAAGAGAAAAAACTTTAAAAACAGAGTTTACCAATAAACCAAAAGCTGGTTATGTATATCTGATGGAGAAAAAGAAAGAAAAAGACTCCAGTAGGATAAAGAATGAATGAGAACAATATGAGAGAAATAACATTAGGAATAATATTTTAATGTCCAGAGGACACGTACTCAACAGAGAGAGATGGGGGTTGGGAAGAGGGGGAGGGAGAGAGAAAAAATGAGAAAGCAAGTCACCAGGTCTGGAATTCACTTTGGTTGGCCATGTGGGAGTCCAGCACCTTAACCACACATCACCAGCTGGCCCTGAAAAAGGGTACATATTTTCTTTTTTCAAAGAAAAATACTAATTGTTCAAGGAAGGAAAAGAAAGATAATGTATATCAATCACCATGGAATACATTAAACAAACTTCTTCCTTAAAAAGGCAGCACATCCAGATGGCTTTAAAGATGAGTTCTTCAAAGCATAACGGGAACAGTCCCAGAGCACAGCCCTTAGGAGCTGTGCAGAGGGAGCCAGATTCCACATGGCCAAACAGTTCCAATCATGTGGGGCACACATGCATGCCCAAGGTCCTGACAGGATGGAGAAATGGAGGAAAAATACATTACAGCATGTCCAGGTCCAGTTGGGGAAGTGTTCTCCCTGTCCTGCATGCTCTTGCGCTCTTTCTCTTCCTCTGTCATGTGTGCCTGTTCAGCCACACATTTGCCCTATGGTGTACATGCTATGTCTAATATCTGCCATATAAAAATAAGTTAACATTTGACTCATTTTAAGACTTGGCATAACCTGATATGAAAACTAGAGAAGGACAGTAGAAGAAAACAATAAACCAATCCAACATGAATACAGGTCCAAAAATGTTAAATACACAGCAAACAGCATCCAGCAACATACTGAAATAATACCTACCGGGTTAGTAAGGATGGTTCACTGTTTTACTGTGGTTCTATACTGACTAATGAGAAAAGTCATATGACCATCTCAGACTCACACTTAAATATTTGGTAAAACTGACAAAGTTCTTATCGTTTTTGGTAAAAATTTCCGATTAAAAATTTTAAAAAGACAACCAAGGTAGCAAAATAATTGCCTTTAACTAAAAAAGAAGACATCTACTAGAAATCTACAGAAAATATCATGAAAGAAACATTAAGATGTGATCTAAATAACTTCTGTAGAGAAAAAATTAGTTATCCTGTAGCTACTATTCAGTGTTGTACTGAATTATTGGAAAAAGCCAAAATTGTTATTTACAGATTCTGACCTACAAAATCAAATTATTTGTCAAGTTCTTAGACCACGAAAGTTCGGCAGTGGCCAGATGAACAACCAAAAGTCGCATTATCCCAGTGACAGTCCACTAGGTAAATAAACTATAATAAAAATAACTAGGGGACCCCCCAAAACGAAATGTGCAAGACGCCCAGAAAATTGCACGTCCACCTGAACACGGCCAGACAAACAGACAAGAAATACTACTTCTGGATAGGAAATGTCAGTATTGGGACTGGCAGTTGGCGGACTGGCTATGTCTCTAGACTCCCATGTAGTCAACCCCTGTTTGAGTCCCAAACCCGGTGGCTTAAACTCAGGCCGTGTGTGTGCGTGCCCAAGATCCCAAGAGGAGAACAGATGAAGGGATTGAGGTGTGGTTATCCCCGTTTGGGAGTGATTCCTCTCACTGTCTCTTTTTTGGCGAGCGAACGTGCCCTATAGTAAAAACCTTTCCAAAAAAAAAAAGTGTCAATATTGTACTGGTTATCAAACTTGGGAAAAATTAATCTACAAAAACACAAAATTCCAAACAAATCTCAGAAAATCTTTGCCATTTGGGACAATCACTACGGAATTCGGCCCTTAAGTTAGAACGTATCACAACGCCGTGGAGATACTCTTAGAAGGGTCCGGCCACCGACGAGTAAAGCGCAACTTTATCCCGCCGACCCCGCCCTCACACCTCCCACAGCCCCTGCCTCCGACCGGAAGAGCCGCTGCTTCCCCGCCCCTTCTGTGACGTAGCCGGGGTTTCCGGTTTGTGGACTTGCGCGCATGCACTCTGACGTCCCTGCCCGTCAGCCCTGCGCCCCCTCGCACGCGGTTGGTGGGGCCTCAACCTCCGCGGCGGTAGCCGCCCTGATCCCTCACCACCCTCAGAAAGGTTGTTTCCTTGCAGTTTCCAGTAAGTGGCCGTCCCAGCCAGGGTTGCGGCGAGAGAGAACGTGAGGGCAAGCCAGCAGAGGCTGCGCCGCCGGGTTTTCTTCGCACGTCATCCTTCTCTGCGGGCTCCTCTCTGCGCCTCCGCGGCTTAGGCGCTCGGGGTGTTATCGTCCCTGCCATCCGCCCCGCCTGAGGCCGTTCCTGAGCCCAAGGTTTCCCCAGGAGTTCTGTCTTGTCACAAGTGCTCATAACGCTTTATGGTGAGCCTTCAAGTGCTTTCCCAGGCTAGCCTTGGGAAAAGTCATGATGTATTTTTCTTTCTGTGCAGAAATGCATGACTTTTCCGAGGACCCCAACTTTGGGCGGTGTTCGAAGGCCTCCCACAGTCTTGATGATGCCACTGATACCCACCCTGAAAATGCGACCACCATCAACTATTCCCCCAGTTCGTTCCGGGCCCACTCCGTTTTAGAATCTCACCTAATAAAAGTCTCAGCCCAGTGCCATCCCTCACCGCCCCTCTTACTAGTCTATTTAAGGAAAGAGTTGTTCTAGGAATAAGATACTGATCTAGGTGCTTTACTTGTGTTTTGTTTAATCTTTACAATAATTCTAAGGTAGATACAAGTGAGGAAATTTAGGCCAAAAAAAGTTGAGTAATTTGCCCAGACAGCTTGCATGTGGTAGAACTGAAGTTTGAGTCTATTGCGGAGCTGACTGAAAGGGGCTGTTACTACTACTTTCTCTTTCCCAAAGACATTAACATCCTCTTTTCTTTTTATTCTTTTTTCTTTTTTTTTAAAGAGATTTTTGCTATAGGGTGGGTGCACCTTCTGGAGAGGCAGAGACAGAAAGTGAGAAATCACCCCTGAGAGACAGGGTATGACTACAGGGCAACCTCTTCTCCATTCTCCCAGGATTGGGCAAGTGTGCGCGCGCGCACACACACACACACACACACACACACACGCCTCTGGTGTGAGTTTCAAGCCTCCTGTTCTGGAACTTGAATTGCTGTGGGTCATATGGGAGTCCAGGGATGTAACCATTAAGCCATCTACTGGTGCCAGCATCCTTTTTTTAGTTGCTTCTCCTGAGGAATTTTTTTTTCTGAATGCCAGCTAGAATGTCCTTGTTTATAGAAATTTGGCCTCTGTCTGAGAACCTTTTTCTCAGAGCTGCCTCACAGACTAGAGCGTTCAGTATTTATCAGAAATCTAATCTTTTATCTCCAAAATGGGCTTATGCTGCCTTAAAAATATTCCTTAAACCTAAAACATATACCTCTGGAGCCAGCAGATGGCATAGTGATTACAACTCAGAACTCCAACATTTCTGACCAAGGTTCAGTTTGAGTCCCAAACCAAGTGGCTTGAAACTCAACACTGGGCATACCTGTGTGCCCCAAGATCCTGGGAGGAGATTGGAGGAGACGGCATTGCAGCGTGGCAATCCCTAATAGAGGGTGATTTCTCCCTTTCCTTCTCACGGTCTCTGTCTTTCTCTCCAGCAAGTACATATGCTCTAAGGCAAAATTCTCTAAAAAAGAGAACAAAACAAAACAAACCCTAACACAGTATGCATTAACCAAGCATCCTTTTACTTCAACTGATCCTCCTCATCCATCCTCCCGATCCAACCCTGTTCTCAGCAAACCTTTGAGCACCTAGCTTACCTAAGACAAAGATAATTGGGGTTTGGAAGAACTCAGATTTAGTTCTCGACCAAGAGAAACATGACATTTATTCACAAGATCACGTAGATTAGCAGGTAGTGCCAACTCAGTGACTCAGAAAACAAATGATACAGGATAGCAAATATGCAAATAAAAAGGTTCAGTATTATCAGTCATTAGAGTAAGGCAAATCAAAACGGTGAAGTAATACTATGTACTTCTAGAATGGATTAATAAAAAAAAAAAACCCCACATGCTGCGACCAGCAAATGGCATAATGGTTACATCGCAGAACTCCCACATAGTCCCCTGCAGTATGAGTCCCGAACGTGGTGGCTTAAAACTCACATGCCCAAAAATCCCAAGAAGTAATATTATGTACTTCTAGAATGGATTAAAAAAAAAAGCCCACATGCTGCGACCAGCAAATGGCATAATGGTTACATCGCAGAACTCCCACATAGTCCCCTGTAGTATGAGTCCCGAACGTGGTGGCTTAAAACTCACATGCCCAAAAATCCCAAGAGGAGAATAGAATACTACATGCTGACAAGAATGTAGAACAACTAGAACATTCTTATGAGGGGTATCTTCAGAATATTCATGGAAAATGATTTATAAAAAAAGAATTTTGAACAATTTTGCACCAAAATAAATTTGTACTTTATTTCCATTGTTCCACAAATATTTTGAAGTCCACTTATATTTTAATACAGCCATTCTGGACTAGTATAGTTATTGTAGTTTTGCAGTTTCTTAGAAAGTTAAAGGTACACTTATTTTGTAGCTCAGCAATGCCACTTCTATCCATTTATCTCAGAGAAATTAAAACTTCCCCAAATAGCAAAAATCTGTATACCAGTGTTTGCAGCAGCATTATTTGCCCAAAATGTTCTAAATTAAGTCTAGTTCATCATTTGAAAATTAAACAGTATAATCTACCATATTAACATTCTAAACAAGAAAAAAACTACACACAAACTTAATGTCTCTCAGTGACCGAATGGATAAACACATGATACATCCATGCAATGAAAAAGTACTCAGAATAAAAATGAGCAAGCTATCGCTATGTGGAAAAACTTGGATGAACCGCCAATGTGTTTTATTAAAGGAAGTCAATCTCAAATGGTACATACTTATTATTCCATTTATTAATATTCAACATCCAAGAAGTAAAACGAAAGTTACAGTGAACACATCAGTGATTGCCAGCGGTTAAAAGGTGGGGAGAAGGTCTGACTGCAAAGAAGTAGCATGAGGGAATTTTTTGGATATTGGAATTGTTCTGTTAATTTTGTTAATCATGCATACAAGAATCTATACGTCAGGGCCAGCAGGTGGCATGGCAGTTTAGGCACTGGACTCCCACATAGCCATCTGTGGTTTGAATCCTGGACCTGGCAGCTTGAAAATTATGCCAGCTGTGAGTTCATGCTTGCCCCAAATCCTAGGACAGGAGGTAGAGGAGAAGGAATTACAGTGTGGCCATCCTCCTAGGGGGTGATTTCTCACTTTGCTTCTGTCTCTTTCTCTCTCTGGTAAGCGTCCACACTCTATGGCAAAAGCCTAAAAAGAAAACAACAAAACTATTAAAATTTATAGTATTGTACAGATACATACATGAATTTTACTTTACATCATTTTTTAAGAGAGATTTTTGCTATAGGGATGTGTGTTCACCAGAGAGAGAGAAAGTGAGAAATCACCCCCTTCCCCAGGGGGGATGGCCACACCACAATCCTTTCTCATCCATTCTCCTCTCAGGATTTGGGGCACACATGCCTAGTGTGATGTTCAAACCACTGGGTCCAGGACTTGAACCATGGTCAACCATGTGTGAGTCCAAAACCTTAACCATCATGCCCTGCTGGCCTCAAAACAAAAACTTTTTTTTTAAATTTTTTATTATCATCATAATCTTCTTTATATTACATTGGATTACATATAACTTTACAGTGTATTACATTGCTTTTTCAAAAGGGAATGCCATG